GATAACATGAGCAAACAGTCCAACAAAACATCTACAAAAATATTTAACTTACCAATAACTGCATCCTTAGATTTAGATGCAGGTAGAATGTCAAAGAATTAAAACTTTAATGGTTAAAATGATAAATGAACTAAAAAGAAGATCTAAGGAATGAAAATGGAGAAAAAAATATAAGAAGTGAAAGTAATTTTCAATAAAGAGAGATTCTGAAAAAAGAATATACAAAAATTATGAAAATGAAAGATTAAGTAAATCAAATAAATATTCAGTTAAAAGTCTCACCAATAAATTAAATCACATAGAAGACAGAATTCCAGGGCTTTAGGACAAGGAGTGTGTACATTAAAACTCAGTGAGCAATAAAGAAAAGAAAAGAAGAAACCATAATCAAAATATAAAGAAATCTGAGACAATTTTAAGAGATCAGACTTAAGAATCATTGGGATTAAAGAGGGAATTGATATAAAAGCTAAAGGCATAGATAACCTTTTCAGTGAAATATTTCAGAGATATTTCCACACATTTGGAGTGAAAAGGACTCCCAATATGAGACATTCAGAACACCAAATAATCAGGATTTTTTTAAAAAAAACTATCCAGGACACATCATACTTAAATACCTAACATACAGAAAAAAATAATTCTAGAGACCTCAAGATCTCAAGAGATAACATTATGTCTCATTTACTGGTAATCCAGCCAGAATTACATCTGATTTCTTAGTTGAGACTCTAAAAGATAGGAGGAATTGGAATGATGTATTCAGAGCCTTGAAAGAAAATAATTGCCTATCAAGATTACCATATCAAGTAAAACTATTCTTCATAATTGATGGGAAATAAAGACCTTTCCAGATGAGCAGAAACTAAAAGAATCCATGACTACTATGTCATCAACTACAAAGAATAAAGAAAAAAAATTCTATATACAGAAGTTAAAAACTAACTTCAGAACCAGCAAATAAATAAATCTCATTAAAAGACTAGATCACCAAATGAGAAACAGGAACAAATTAAATATTAGAAACAAATCAAAATTAAAGTAATTAATAAATACTTCTTTATAATAACTGTTATAGTTTAAATATGAGATGTCCCCCCAAAGATCACATGTGAGAAAGTGCAATAATTCTCAGAAGTAAAATAACTATATTATGAGAGATATAGCCTAGACTATAAATTAATCCATTGATATGGTTCACATGGGTAGTAACTGTATGCAAGCAGGCTATGGCTGGATGAAGTAGGTTACTAGGGAATGTGCCATTGGATTTATATTTTGTTTTTGGTGAGTGGAACTCTCTCTCTGCTTCCCAATTGTCATCTTTTGAACTGTTTTACTCCAACTTGCCCTTCTGCCATGTTTTGCCTCACCTCAGATCCAGAGGTATGCAGTCATCCAACTATAGACTGAACCTCTGAAACCATGAGCCAAAATAAATGTTTTCTCCTCTATGTTCTTGTCAGATCGGTGGTCACAACAAAGAAAAAGTTGACTAAAAGAGAAAATGGTATTGAAAGTGGGGCCATTGATGTGACTAACCATTCCATGTGGTTCAGAAGTCTTTGGAATTGGTTTGATGGAGGAAAATTTTTGAAGTTTAGATGTGCAAGATGAAAAAGCTTTAAAATGTTGTAAATGGAGCTTAATGGGTGATTCTGGTGGGAAGTTGGAAGGCTATAATGCTGATAGGACTGTGGACAGTTAAGACAGGGCTCATCAGGTTTTGAAGGATGGAACTCTTGGAAATTAAACTAGAGGATGTTCATGTTATTTTTAAGCAAAGAAATTTTCTACATTTTGTACATGTCCTGAGGTTTTCTGTGAGGCTGAATTTAACAGTGCTAAACTAATTAATCTGGCAGAAGAAATTTCAAGACAATTCAGCATTCATGCCGTGTCAAGGATATTGCTAGTGACCTTTAGTGAAGGTCACTGTGACAATCAGAAGCAGAAAGCAGAAAGATATGAAAATTTGAATTTTTACCAGAAAAATCCAAGTAAAACTGGGGCTACAGAATTTGTGGTTGTTAGACAGATTACAGCCACTAAATAGATGCTAAGTCCTTTTAAAAAGAACAATAAGAAAATTGGCTTGAGGGCTTCTCAGTAATTGGCAAGATTACACTCCTCTCGGGCTTAAGGGTGTAAAAGTAAAAATTCCTTTGAGAAAGGACCATGGGAACACCCTACTTGCACAAGGGTCTTGGAAGATATTTCAATGTACAGGATAGTACAGACACAGAGATGGCTGCAACCATGGTCCGTGGAGGCTTGGTTGCTGCTCCAGATGGTGGCAAATCTTGGTGTCCACCATCTACTGCTGGTACTGTATTAATGCCAGATAGTACAATTAGGGGGTCATGGAGGCCTCCACCAAGATTTTAAAGGAAGGTCTTGTAGGCCAGGCAAAATGGAGCAGAATCAGATTTTGTGCAAACAGCCCCCTGAAAATGCAATGCATGAAAATGTGAACAGAAAGCTGAAGTTATAGTGGAAAGCCCAGGGCTTAAGAAACGCTAATAACATGAAACATCTGCCAAGGAACACCATAGGAGTTAAGCAGAAACAAACCAAGAGAGAGGCCATATGGACTGTAATCAGCAAAACCAGAGGGGTGAAGCTGCAAAAGCCCTTTAAAGAGATAACAGCATGATGCCACATGCCCTAGAAGTTAGACATGAGGCTATAGGAATTATTTGCCCAGATGGATTTTGTTTTCTTTTCGTCCTGTTCCTTCTTTCTGAGCCTCTATTTCTGCACCTCTATTTCTGCCTTGTGCAATGGAAATATTTATTCTGTTCCAATACATATTGGATATATATAACTTCCTTTTGATTTTTTAGGGGCTCAATCCACATGTTGACCCTTGAGTCTCAGAAGAGATGTTGGACTTTGACTTTTAGACAATACTGAAGTTAAGTTGTAAAATTGTGGAATTCTTGGAATTAAAGTCTATGTATTTTGTACTGTCAAAGGGCATGAGATTTGGGGGGACAGTGCTGGAATGTTTTGATTTACAGCTGAGGGACTCCCCAAAAGGTCATGTATGTGACAATGCAAGAATTTTCAGAGATGAAATGATTCAATTATGAGAGGAATAACATAATCAGTTCATTAATCACTGATGTGGATTGACTGAGCAATAACTAGGCAGCAAGGTATGGATAGAGGAAATAGGTTATTGGGGGCATGCTTTTGGGATTTATATTTTGTCCTTGGTGAGCAGAGCACTCTCTGCTTCCTGCTTGACATGTCCTGATCTAGTTTCTGCCAGTATGCACTTCTGCCATGATATTCTGCCTTATCTTGGGCCCAGAGCTTTGGATTCAACCACCTATGGACTGACCCTCTAAAACCTTAGGCCAACATGGGCATTTCCTCTTCTATGTTGTTCTTATCAGATTTTTGATCATAACAACAAAAATGTCTGGCCAAAATACATGAGTGAAAATAGTCTCAACTCTCACATTAAAATTCATAGGCTGGCAGATTGGATTTAAAAATAAAGACACCAACTATATACGGTTTGTAAGAGACTCATCTTACAGGTAAAGACATTCATAAAATGTCTAAAAGAGAAAGGATGGAAAAATATATTTCATGAATAATAGAGAACCAAAACAAGCAGGAGTAGGTCCTCTCAGAACAAACAAAGCTGATTTCAAGCCAAAATCAATCAGAAGAGGCAAGAAAAAGGCAATTCATACTGGTAGAAAACAATTCAGCCAAAAAGTAGTGATAGTGTTTATATCCCTAAACATCAGTGCACCTAATTACATCAAGCAGCTGCTATTCAATGTAGAGATTCAAATAGGCTACAATAAAATAATACTGGCTAGTTTAAATAGAACTCTTTCCCTTTGAGACAGGTCATCCACACAAAAAATCACTAAAGACTTTTCAGATTTAAAAGTATTATAGATCAAATGGACTTAGCACGCATTAATAGAATATTTCATCGAACAATAACTAAATTCAACTTCTTATCAGCTGACCATTCAACTGTCTCCAAATTGACTATATTTTAGGACACAAAGTAGTAAGTCTTAGAAAATATTCTTTTAAAATTAGTACAACCCCTTGCTTACATCTTATCAGGTCAATAGCAAGAAAATAACCATAGAAATTACATAAGGACATAGAGATTCAATAATACACTTTTCAACAATGACTGAATCATTGAGAAAATGAGGGGAGGAAATTAAAATTTCTAGAATCAAAAAAACAATAGAGATTCAATGTGCCAGAATCTCTGAAATACTAGGAAGGCAGTTCTAAGACAAGAGTTTATAAGCTAGGAATGGATACCTTAAAATTCAGAACAATCCCAGATAATAATCCTTAATAATGCATCTCTAGGCCTTAGAAAATTAGGAACAATCCCAAATATTGTAGAAAGAAGGAAATAATTAAGATGCAAGCTGAAATTAATGAGAGAATAAAAAAGTACTAAAGATCAGTGAAACAAAGACTTTGTTCTTTGAAAAGTTTAAACTAGATTGGTAAACTTTAACCAAACTAAGAAAAGAGACACAAATTATATATGCACATAGTACAAATTTGTCAATTTCTTTCCCGTTCTTCCTCTTTCCTTCTTTTCCTTTTTTCCACCATTTCTCTTTCTCTACTGTTCTTGTCTTTTTTTCCATTTTGATGAGATCCCTTTACTTTTTCATTTCTCTCTCACTACTACATATGAGATAAAACATCTGAGGTGTGAATTTTGTCTTTCCTCAGGTAGATTATTAGTATCTATAGAAAAGGATCCAGGTATTCTGTCTATTTAGTAATTGGATTTTATTTCTTCTATGATAATTCTTACAGATCCATAAAGAAAAGATGTGTTTGAAATGCCTGTCAAAAATTTCTTGCCTGACTACTTAATCATCACTAGGAACCATAGGATTAATCAGTGACTCACTAGGAACCATAGAACTAACCAGTGAATCACAAAATCTAGAGGTAATCAGATAACTGAGCTGTTGTTCACATCCTACCTCATTCATTTTGATCAGGAAGCAGTCGATGAAGTCCCGAGGATTGTCCATATCCAAGGATTCTTGGTGTTCTTGTACTTTCTCCAAAACATACTGTTTCACATCGCCAATATTCTTTAAAAGTTTTTTATGACTCCCTGGGAAATAATCAATGAGAGCAGGAAAATTGTTGCAGATCTACAAAATAAAAAATATTTATTAACTAGAAACAGATAATAAAGACATGAATATTATGTATAGTCCTTCTTATAAATAGAGATGTAAAAATTTTAAAAGTTGGTGTTTCTCTTGATAGAGAAATTTTTACTGTACATATATATTAATTCCCAAGCTTATAGAAAGATTTGTGGGAGAGAATTATGACCAGAGGTTATCAGAAATGATAATCATTTTCTATACTCATATGTCATCTTTAAAGATAAAAATAAGTTTATTTAAGTTCTCATCTTTTTCAAACCAATTTTTCCCTACAATCTGGAAATACAGATTGGCATGAATTAGCATGACTGATGCTCTGTAGATGAGAACAGAATTTAAGGGAGTTTGGGTCACTAGAGAAAGAGTACAATGCTTGGTAATAGTGAATTATGCTCAATAGAGTAGAAGGAAGACGAGGAGGGAAGAGGAGAGGGAAAGGGGGAGTGGTCGGGACTGAAATAGAACATATTATATTCCATGCTTGTATAATTATTTCAAAATGAATTTATTTTTATATATAACTAAAAAGAACTAATAACATTTTTTCATTGAAAAAGAGCACAATGCTGTTGGCTGCCTTTTCTTATAAGAAGCAGCCTCATAAATAAAAGTTACTACAGGGGAGATTTTCAAAGTACATGAAATGCAGTTGGGCATTCTATGGAGAAGTAACTGTGCACAAAAATAGTTAGGAGATTTCTGAAGATCTGACTTTTATGAAGAATGCAGAACCTGCCAGCTAAACATAGGGTAAAACTGTTCATGGTTGTACACGCTGAAATGCAATCATTTCATTAGCCTAACCCTGATTGCATTTCAGTGTGTACAACCCTGAACAAACAGACAGATTCAATCCATTCTCTTTCAATATCCCTTCTCTCCTCGCTTTTCTTCATTCCACTTTGACTATTTCACTGATCTTTCTTCTATTCTTTTTTTTTTATGTGTGCCACCTTATTTTGGATTAGCTTCTGCATATCAGAGAAAACATTCAAACTTTGATTTTGTGGCACTAGATTATTTGACTTAGTATGATATTCTTCAAATGTATCCATTTACTAAAAAATGACATAATGTCATTCTTCATTATGGCTGAGTAATACTTCAGTGTCTATATTTCACACTTTCTTTATCCATTCATCCTTTGAAGGGCACCTAGTATGTCTCCATAGCTTAATTATTGTAACTTGTGCTGTTATAAATGTTGAAGTGCCTGCATCACTGTAGTATGCTGATTTTAAATCCTTTGGATGTATACTAACGAGTAAAATAACTGGGACAAATTGTGGTTCCATTCATAGTTTTTGAGGAAAGTCTATACTGCTTTCCAGAATAATTGCACTAATTTGCAGTCCCACAAACAATGTACACATTTTCCCCACATTCTGGCTAAAATGTATTGTGATTTGTATTCTTGATAATTGCTATTCTGACTGCAGTGAGATAGAATCTCAATGTAGTTTCAATTTACCTTTCTCTAAATGCTAGACATGTTGAACATTTCTTCCATATATGTATTGGCCATTAGTATTTTTTCCTTTGAGAAGTATCTCCTTAGTTCCTTTATCATTTATTGATTGGGTTATATGGGTTTGGGGTGTTAAATTTTACGAGTTCTTTGCATATCCTGAATATAGATGCCTTATCTGAAGAACAAGTGGCAAAGACTTTCTACCATTCCTGTAGGCTCTCTCTTTACATTCTTGACTGTTTCCTTTACTGTGAAGAAGATTTTTAACTAGATATCATCCCATGTTATTATAATTTTTAATGTTCTCACTGGCATTTTAAGAGTCTTGTTGAAGAAGTCAGTTCCTGAGCTAATACGTTGGAGTGTGGGCCTACATTTTCTTCTAGCAGGTGTATTTTCTGGTCTAAGTCCTAGGTCTTTGATCCACTTTGAGTTGAGTTTTGTGCAGGATGAGAGATAGGGGTTCAATTTCATTCCATCACATACAGATTTCCAGTTTCCCGGCACCATTTCAAAAGACTATGTTTTCTCTAACATGTTTTTTGAAAACTTTGTCAAATACCAGAAAACTGTATTTCTGACAAGTAAAGTGATGAAATCTCTAAGTGGTGATTGGAGTGCAGCCCTTGATGATTCCTCCTCAGGCCCCTGGATGCTCATTGAGTGTCATGACCTTGCTCAAATGCAGTTACTAAAGTACTTTATAAATAGGAGGCTTTGGGGGTTACTGGGAGAAGCACTGGCCAGAGAGTCAAAGGGGATTTCCTATCATCTCTACATGAAGGCATTCATTTTCCAGTGCATAAAGTAAAGGCCTCAGTCATGGTTTCCTGATACTCACTCCATGACATCCAATTCTGGGCCAGACTGTGGTGTTTAGACTCACTTGACTGCTTGGATCACTAGAAGGTCTTACATGTCATAGTAAAGATGGTGTATTTTCTCAGGAAAGGGGGATGGGATTTTTGTCTCACCTGGATCCATGGGGAACTCAGAATCTTCACATTTTCATTAAATTTCCCCATAAAGTATAGAAAATGCTGATCTTTATAATCAAAACGATTATGGAAGATAACAGAGCAGATCACATTGCAGGGAGCACAGCCCAGGAGAAAAGTAGGATCACAGGGTGAGGCTAAAGAAGTAGAAACATTAAAAATCCACATTAAATATTTAAAAATTCATACAAATGTCCTTATCTTTGAGATAACAGGAAAAGGTAATTGTAGAAACTCTAAGCAATATCTATCTAGAAATTTCTTTCACATGAAAAATATTCAGCATGCTAAAAATCAGTACCACTTTTACCTTAAACTCAAATTGAGTTTAACCTTGTAGCCAGTTTCATAGTGATTTTCCTAATGCTCCATTCAAATCTACTGCCTTTTTAAGCCATTCTAACCGAAAGTCACATTTATTTTGGAAAACATTTTAAAAGATCACTTTAAAAACACTTGTTAATTCAATTTCCGTGCTGAATCATAGTTGTCATCAAACCTGTAGAAAATTAGGAATTAGGTAGAAAGAGAAAAAAGTTAAAGGACATTCGTTTTATATCACTGAAACATTTGTGTGTAAAAACTGCAGAGGTAAAGAATAAATCGAGAGTAACTATGTACAGATTTGTCTACTTGTGGAACAAATGAATATAAGCAGAAAACATTCATGTTTTATGAGGAAGAAAGGCAAACACATAAATAATGACATTTGTTGACAAAAATAAAGGTAACAAAAATTTATTTTTAAGTAAATTCAAGGTAACACAAAGGTGTAGTTCATAAATGCAATCTCTTTATTTATTAGACAGAAAGAGAGAGAGTAAGAGAGAGAAGAGAGAGACTGACTAAGAGAAATTTTTTCACTTTAGGAAATAGAGCCCATCATCTTCAAATACCTCATTATTTAATCTATTTGGAAATCCTGCCTTGTTGTGAAATTCTGGAACATTTCTCTGAATCATGTAGTCACAAGTATATTTTAGTAAATATGAATGTTTGTTGGGAGCTGCTTTGAATGAACAGGCCTTCAAGTCCCCATGCCCTGGGGGCTCTGACCAATGACTACATTTTGTAGTGACTTGGGTGTTGTCCCAGCTGGGGAGCAAGGTGTGACTCCAGGTGTAGACATCACCCAAGGGGGTTCAGCGACACTCACCTGTTCCTTTGTAATCCTACCCCTTTCCTTCTTTGGGGATAGAATGTTCCATGGAAACTCCTTGTGTGTTTCCTGTATAAGAATAAAGAAGTCCAATGGCTCTTTCTCTTTCCAAGGACACTTAAGGTTGCAGAGCCATCTCTGGATTGCTGAAAAGATATTTCTGTGTGGTTGTGTGCTTTCTTTGTCATTTTCTTGATTTATTGGAATAGTCAGATTTTGTGAACCCAGCACTAGGTCGCCAGCTAGGACAGATGGCGACAAATGCTGGTCATCCCTATAGTCAATACTGTCATATTGTAGGTAGAGAAATTAACATACAATAAGGTTTTCACTTTTGTAGGAATGTATAAAAGTGAAATTACAATTAAGTGATCAATAAATATCATTTGTTAAAAAAAAGAATCCGAAGACACAACTATATTTTTTAAATTACAGTTTATTTGATAAAACAAGTAGATTTTATATTTAATTAAACTTTACTTGATAAAAAAAATTACCAAAAAGGTAAGGTATCTACAATAAAAATTACAAAATGCTGATGAAAGAAATTGAAGAATATACAAATAAATGGAGGATTAACATTGTTAAAAGTATTATACTACCCAAATCAAATTTATCTCATGATAACACCAAAGACATTCTTCACAGAACTAGAAAAAAACCCTAAAATTCATGTGGAAGCATATATATATATATATATATATATATATATATATATACACAGAGACAGAGAGAGAGAGAAAGAGATTTCATATAGAGAGAGACTTGAAAATATATTTATATAGTCAACACAGTCTTGAGCAAAAGGGCAAAGCTGGAGGCAAGACAATTCCTGACTTTAAGCCATACAACACAGCCACAGTAAACAAAACAGCATGGCATTGGCATAAAAACAGGAAAATAGAATAATCAAAGAGAAAAGAGATCCTGGAGGAGGGGAAAATGCATCTATAGTCCACTGATTCTAAACAAAGTTACTAAAACTTATGGTAGAAAAAGGAGACCCTCTTCAATAAATGGAGCAGACAGAAGATTGTGACTTGAACCTCATCTCTTACCCTGTACAGAATCCAACTCAAAAATGGCTCGGAGACCTTACTGTAGGTTCTGAAACCCTCAGTGAACCAGAAGAAAACATAGGGGGAATACCTCAAGATGAATACAAGTGATAATTTTTTTTCTATATGACCCTAAAAGCAAAAATAGGCAAATAGATAACATGGAGTTGAAAAGCTCTTACACAACAGTCAATAGAGTGAAGAGACATTCTACAGAAGGAGAGATAATATTTGCCAATTATTCATCTCACAGAGGATTAAAATCAACAGTACATAAAGAACAAAAAAAATAAAAACTTAACAACAAACCACAAGTAATACAATTAAAAATGGGCAAATAATCTTAATAGGTACTTCCCAAAAGAAGAAATATAATGATCAATAAGCACTTTTTAAAAATTCTCAATATCATTAGGTATCAGGCAAATGCAAATCAAAACGACCAAGAGATATCATTTTGCTCAGGTTAAAATGGCTATCATAAAAACATGAAAACAAAAATAAGAAACACATATTACCACCACCACAACAACAACTAACAAATTTTGGAGAGGTGTGACAAAAAAAGTACACCTTATAACTGTTGGTGGGAATGTGCATTCGGATAGTCATTATGTAAAAAAGTATGCAGTTCCCTGAAACATAAAGAGATCTTCCATATGATCTAAGTGTCCTGTTTCTTGGCACATAGATGAAAGAAATGAAATCAACATACAACATAGATTCCTGCATGTTCAGGATAACTAGGACACTATTCACAATAGCTAAGATATCATATTTATGTGCTTATCATCAGATGAGTGGATAAAGAAAATCTGTTATAAATACAACATTATGTATTTGTATTTAGTCATAACAAAAAGGAAATCTTGTCATTTGCTGCAAAGAAGAGAGAACTGGGGGAACTTATGGTAAGAGATCAGAAACAGAAAGTCAAATATTGCATGGCGTCTCTCATGTATGGAAGATGAATGTGTTCAAAACGAACGTGAGCCTGAAGGTAGAAGAGTGATTACTGGAGATAGGGTGGTGAAGAGGGTAGAGAGATGCAGCAGAACACTTCATGGGTTAGTAGAGAAGACAAGGAGAGGTAAGTGATTACCATATGCAAGATTAATGAGAATTTCCAGGAGATATGCAAATGAATGTAAACCCATTGATTATATAATTACTGCATATTGTAGGCACTGGCCTTGAAAGAAACCCTGAGAGAAGTCAGAAATCAAAAGTGACTGTACAACCACTGTCCAATTCAGTGAAAGAACATATCACTTTTGCTTCAGCTCCACAGGGTCTATGGCTGTGTCCAATGGACCACGGTGAAGGCTGTGGAGTGGGAAACTCACAAATGTGCCATGGAGAAACCCTGCTTTTGAACTCTAAGAAAAATGCATCTCTAAACTTTGTCTCTTCATGATGCAATGATTTGAAAACATCAATAAAGCTGGTCAGAGTAGGATTATACGACCTTTTACATCTACCATGCATGCCCACTCATGTCTGTGCACAGGCCAGCAAAGATAAACAAACTCTGACTCTCTGCTTAATACCATCACTCCTCTACATGAGTCTTGACAGGACCTATGATTATAAAGGCCTGGCTGTTGCTGAAATGTATTCACTAGACCCAGAAAAGAGCTGTCTGTTAAGAACAGTGATATCACAAAGCACTCACAGTTGGTTTTCCTCAACTCCTCCACAAGGCAGCGGGATTCTTCTTGAACTCGGTCCTCAATACTCCTCTTCCCCATCCCAAAATTCCTCAGAGTCATGACTGAGAAGCGTCTCATCACTTTCCATCTGTTTCCATTACTTATAATGATTCCTAAATGAAAGGGAGCAGAATCTAGAAGGGATATCCCTGGTGAGGTACAGGAAGTTGACGATTGGCAGCAACAGAGATGGCCAAGCTCAACCTGGCTTTCTCTTTTTCATGCTCCTCTTTCCCATGACCACTGCTCACCCACCTCACATGCATGCCCACTTACCAAGCTCTTTCCTAGTTCTGTCACCCACAGGGAAACTGCCTCTTCCAGAAAATACTTCTCCATGATCAACCAGGGCTTCCTTCACAGCTTCATATCCATGCAACACAACAGTGGGCCTCATACCCAAATACACAGTGAACACAGGGCCATAGACTTTTGAAAACTGGAAATGGGAAAGAAAAATGCAAAAATTAGCTGAGGAAGATCAGCATTTGATCTACATATTTGGAATGATTCAGACTGTTACAGATTATGGGTATTTTTTATATTTTATTGTGCCATAGAATCTTCAAATATTTCTCAATTTTTCTCATATAATGTGATGGCCATTAAGCTGTCACATATGGATGGGCTGCAATGTGCTATACCTGGCTCAGGCAATGGACATCTGTGTTATGATTAATTCTCATATCAATGAATTTAGGGGACTTACTTGTTCTGTTTTACATTCAAAGGAAACAAAGTCAGAAAGTTGCAAACTCATTTGCAGTGAACCATGTATAATAAACCGAAGACCCAAATGTGAACATTTATTTTGTTAACTTCTCAAATTTGAACACTTTGTTAGTACCCAGTGCTTATGCACCTTTGCACCAACACCCAGAAAATTTTTTCTTTATTTTTTAAAGTGACCCCAGATGATCTTAACACTCATAGGTTGAGGCCACAGATATCACTAACACAGCAAAAGAGTGAGTACCAGGGAGGAGGCAGCATCAGGCCATGTAGCATCTCATGGAAGAACAATTTCTCTCACCCAGCAGTAATTCACAGGGTACAGACTGAAGTTTTATGCAAAACCCACAAGGATTCTGTTACCATCCAGTGGACCCTAAATGGTTAATTCTTTCCTTCATTTTCTTATGCTGGTTCTCAGCCCATAGTCTTCTTTTTATTTTAAATACTTTATTGAGGTACAATTGAAAAATAATAAGTATATATATATATATATATATATATACTTAGAATATAAAATGTGCTATTTTGATTGATGTAGACATTGCAAAATGATTACCACAGCCAAGTTAATTAATATACATCAACTCAGTGTTAACATTGTCATGTGTGTGTGATGAATACACATTAGTAAACTTCAGGTGTAAGACACTTTATTTACTTGCATCACCATGATGTGTCCTAGGTCTCCAGTGAATATTCACCAAGTAACTGAATGCTTATACCCTGGGACCAACATCTCACCTTTTCTCTCACATCACAGCTCTCAATAGCCATCATTCTAGTTTCTACTACTATGAGTTTGAGGCTTTTTGCTTTGCTTTGTAAGATTCCACAGGTAAGGTGTGAGGTCATGAAGTGAAGGTCTTTTTGTGTGGCTATTTCCCTCATCATTAAGTCCTCCAGGCTCGTTCCAGGATATTATCAGTAGTAGGAGTTTGAATTTAGAACTCTGCACCACTTCCACGGCAAGAATTTACAATCTGTCAGCGCTCCTCAGAGGATCCCACCCTTTACTGGAAGAATGGAAGCTGAGCACTACTATAACAAATGGGCTCCTAGCCACATTATCTGGCAGCTAGCTAGTGAGGAATGCAAATGTGCTTGCTTCACAATGCCCAAACCTTGACCCTAGGGTTACAAAGCAAAACATAAACATGAAAAATGAAAATCCGTTCCTACGGACAATTTAGACCATACTCATGAGAAGTTGGGGAAGGGGAAAACCTTTACTTCTCATGAGTATTTTTCCTTTGTTTACTCCATGTATACCCCATTGAAAATATATTGTTTGCTTTTTCTTAAAATTAAAGAACTCTAGAAAACTTAACACTAAAAAAAAAAAATAACCTCATTAATAAATGTGCAAAGGAACTGACAGGTACTTCACAGAAGAAATACAAATGCTCAACAAACATGTGAAAAAATATTCAACCTCTCCAGCCATTAGAGAAATTCAAATTAAAACTATACTGATATTCCTTATCACTCCAGTCAGAATGGCAATTAGTAAGAACACAAGTAACAATAAGTGTTGATGAGAATGAGGGGGAAATGTTTCCCTCATATGTTGGTGTATGTACAGCAAATTGGTACAACCACTCTGGAAAGCAGTTTTCCTTAGAAAACTTGGAATGGATTCACCATTTAACCCAGTTATCCTGCTCCTCAGTTTATACCTAAAACACTTAAAATAAACATGCTATAGTGACACAGCCACATCAATGTTTATAGTAGCTCACTTCACATAGTCAAGCTATGGAACCAACCTAGGTGTCCTTTAACAGATCACTAAATAAAGAAAATGTGGTATGTATATAGAATGATTAGAACATTAATCAGCCATTAAGAAGAATGACATTATGGCATATGCCACTAAATGGCTGGAACTGGAAAATATCATGCTAAGTGAAATCAGCCAGTTCCAAAAAACCAAAGGCCAAATGTTCTCTCTGCTATGTGGATGCTAAACCACAACAAGAAAGGGTAGTGTTATGATTTGAATATGGCATCTCCCCCAAGTGAAATAATGCACGAAAGTTCAGACGAGAAATTATTTAATAATGATTGAACCCAATGAGTGGATTAATCCCTGATGGAATTAACTGAGTGATAACTAGAGGCAGGTGAGGTGTGGCTGGAGGAGGTGTTCATCCGGGGTATAGCTATGGGGTATATACTTTGTATATGGAGCTGGAGTCTCTCTCTCTGCTTCTTAATGTGAGCTGCTTCCCTCTGCCGCACTCTCCCATCATGATGTTCAGCTTCACCTCATGCCCTGAGGAAAGGAGCCAGACTTGTATGGACTAAGACCTCTGAAGCTGTGAGCCCTCAAATAAACTCTTCCTCCTTACAGTCGCTCTGGTCAGATCCTTTAGTCACAGCAGTGAAAAAGCTTACTAAAACAGGCAGGGGGGGGGGAAGAATAGAAGTTCACTGGATTAGACAAAAAGGAATGAAGGGAAAGGAGGGGGTAGGGAAGTAGAAGAGACTGTAGAATGAATCAGACATGACTTTCCTTTGCTCATAAATGAATACACAAGTTGCCATCTCAGGTCGCATCCACCTCAGAATAGGGACACCAGAGAGGGCCTGGAGATACATTGTCAGGGTATCTGCAGGTCTGGTTGTACCTGAGATCTTTCTGCTGGGAATGCTAGTGGCCACCATCTGGCTGCCTCTCTGCGGGGGTTTCTCCTTTGTGTGGCTCCCTCCCTGGTGGTCTCCCTGCGGGTTGAAATGGCATTGAGATCTTGTGACTGCAACAAGCTGGGCCTGGGTAAACTGAAGCCCAGGTCCATCAGATTGTAGCTGGGCTTGCTTGGGTCAGGCTGGATCTAGCAAGCCTGTGGAATGCCAGAGACTAGGGGCAGTGCCCCAGGGAAATCTCAGGTTGAAGAAATTAGAGAAAACAAGGCTCTCTACATCTCCGGGAGTCCTGAGGTGCATGGGGACAGAGTGGGTCAGCTAGACATGGGAAGAATAGTAGAATAGACAGACATTATTACCCTGTAAACATTCATGATTGTGCTATTGGTGTGACTGTGCACTATGTATATGTATAGGTTCAATATATGTATATATTCATATATTTTGCTGTCTCTTTAACTGCTTTCTTCTGCATCTGTTTATTAAATAGCCTTGGTTTCACATAGGAGGGATATATTCTTACATGAGTTTGAACTGTTTTGATCTTACATTTGCTTGTTTGCTATACCTTAGTTTTTGTCCCTCTTAATGCCCTTTCTTCACTCTTTTCTCCCAAAAACCCTTTCCCAAAATATTTCCTATTCCAGCTTCCTCTTTTTTAATTTGTAAACTACTTATACTTAAATGTTTTATTTCTCTTTCTTTATAATCAACACTTGTGATCCATCTTCTGCCTCTCCTGTCTTCACTTTTTAAAACATTTCAAACTTTTTCCTGCCTTTCTACTCTATTTTCTATTTTCTCTTCACATAACAAATTGTAATTTCATTAAATATAGAATTACATAGTTAATGTAGTTTGTACCTCATTCATCTTCTCAAGATTATCAACACAGCTGGCAACACACTTTTCCAGAGAAAAGTGATAATGACTGATGTTGTTCACATTTTTTTAAAAAATATTATTTTAATTGTAGATGAACAGACACTATATTTATTTTATGTGGTGCTGAGAATTGAACCCAGTGCCTCACACATGTGCTGCAAGTGCTTTACCACTGAGCCCCAGCCCCAGACCCTTGTTCACACTTTTTATTGTTGATCCCTCCATTCCTCCAAAGGTGGCAATTAGTGTTACAGATATCAAAATAGATACTGCACATTCATCTTGAGGCTGTACATTTCTTGGTAACAATAGTGCAATTCCTGGCTGACTGCTTCCTCTAAGTGGGGTTGAAAAGTGAGTGGGTCATATCAGGTTCACAGAGTAGACATCCTGCTCCCAAGCAATACACACAACTCAGCCCCGTAACAATGGATCTCACCCCACACTTGTAGTCCCACCTCCATCTCAACATTACTTCAAAACATAAAATTAAGGAGAAAAAAAAATCTCAAACTTACAACCAGGTCAAAGGAGAATCAACCAAAGGGGGACCTCAGGTCACACCTCTGGACCTACTCATATATCAAAAACAGAAAAAAATAACCCCAAAACAAAATAGATAACTACACACACAAAAGGACATAGGTGTAAAATAGAAAGTAGAATCCATTTCCATTGAAGTGCAATTTCATGAATTCTGAAAACTTGAGAAACCAAATGAATAAATCTTCCCTCCTAATTCACCATCCCCCCTGTAAAAGATTCCACAGATTGAAAAGTGTGTGAAATTCTAGAGAAAAGTGATAGAAAATTGATTATTAAAATGTTCAGTAAACTAAAGGAAGACCTAAGGAATGAATTAAAAGGAACAATTTTGATAAAGAAATACCAATATGGAAAAGAAACTAGTCAAAACTGCTGGAAATGAAAGACACCCTGAAAGTAATAAAAATTCACTCAAAGAATCACAAGCAGATTAGATTGTGCAGAAAACAGAAAATCATAGCAAATAATGATAAGAAAATGAAGAGCAGGGCTACTCCAGACTTTTGCCTTTTAAATATTGCCATCAAAATATTAAATATAAATTTTTTAATCCCAGATGCATTGTTTCATTACACTACCTGTAACAATGAAAGACTATTA